ATAACAGGTCTTCAAAAGTTTGTGGAAAAATGGAAATGAAATAAAATGTAATTTTCCCACAGACTTTTTGAAGCCTGGTCTGTGGTACAAAGTAGCAGTCAAGAACTCAAACAATGTCACTGCACGGGGTTCATCTGCTGCAAACGACTTCTTTCAAGTTTTAAAAATCAAAGGCATCACTTTTTAACCAAGGTGTACCTCACCCAAGCCATGGCTCGGGTAGTGAGGAAGGAAGGTGGATGAATCAATGCATTCATAGTTGTGGTATGGTGAAGAATATTGAATGCCGACAGAACCAAGAAACCAGTCATAGAAGACATAACAAACGTGGAATGCTCATTAGGAGCGAGTGTCAAAATTTCAGTTCACTTAGGTCATGTCACCAGCAAAAACCAGTTGCTAGAAAAGGACATCATGTTTGGTAAAGCAGACGGTCAGCAAAGAAGAGGGAACCCGTCAATGAGAGCGAAAAGCTTCAGCTTATGGATTCAAACGTAGCTGTGATCAGGAAGATGGTTGGGTCAGGGCCAGGCCACGCCACGTCTCGCTCTACTGCACATGTGTGTGTGTGTGTGTGTGTGTGTGTGTGTGTGTGTATCTATATATATACACATACACCATGAGTTAGGGTCACCTCAGTAGCAACTTAACAACATAGTAAGAAGGGTCCTGTCTTAACACTGGCCTGTTATCTTTCTCAGAAACATGATATTGAAGCTTTTTTCCTGGAAATGACCTAAAGTAGCTAGCCTGACATTCCTTTGTAGCCCATACATCTAATTGGATTCCCCGTTGTGGATGAAAACTACTGACAAGCAGTTCTGGCTCAATTACAGACACACCTAAGATACGTTTTAGAAGTACTTCCTCCCAAGAGCAAATTGTGTCCATATTGTTTTCCTTCTGTCAGCTGAAAAGCAGACAATTCATTAGTATATGTTGTGGTCAGAATCATAGGTTTTTCCTTTGAGGCATTTGTTCATCTAAATCTGGTTACGGTTTAAAGAGGCTAAAAAGGCAAGCTTCAGTTATGAGGAAAGTGAGCTGTCTTCTCTAAGACCACATCCCATCAGGCACAAACATCTATGTGTATTTGAGCTTAACAAATATTTGCCAAGAACCCATGATGGGGTTGAAATCTTCATGGGCTGTAAACAAGGTGTGGTCTGTATCATTCAACTCAGGGTTTTTACTCTGACTTCAAGGGTACACTTTGACCATGGCACTGTAGAATAAGCACTGGACTAACCACAAGGTCGGCCATTCAAGCCCACCAGCTACTCATGAGAGAAAGATAAAGCTTTCTTTTCCCACAAAGATTTATAGCTTCTGTGAAACCTATGCAGGCTTGTTAAGAGTCAGAACCAACTTAACAACAAAGAGAAAGTATAGAAAGCACGCATTTGTCTCAATTGGTTATGGCCTCCATTTATAAAAAGTTCATTAGCAATTTATATATATTTTTCTAACTTGAAGATAAAATATCCAATCATTTAACCTTACCAGAAATGTACCAACATGGATAGAAGCATTTTACTTTTCTTTTTATTAGCAGGATTTTCTAGTTAATCATGAATACATAAAATTCATTTTTCAAAAGCAAAAAACAAGATAAGTTCCTGGGAAAAAGTTACTTCAAGTAATCCCTCAAGGTACATAAAAGCAGAATTTTACCAGTCAGTTTTTAGAACGTGCTAAGGGACGGCAGTTTAGGACATTTATAAAAAAGTGCTGCTCACTGAGCTAAGCAACAACACAGAAACATTTGGGATCATACCTAAACCATTTCCCCAACTTTGACACTAAAACATTTTCAAAGTCTAAACCAATCATGGAGAAAAAAACCATAGTTAATGAAACAATCTTTGCTCTTTTCTAAAATTCATTTCAAAGGATAGTTTTTAAAGTTGCTCAGTGCCTCAAACTATCGATTGTAATTAAAAATGAATCTGAGGCCAAACAGAATGGAAGCATAGCCATCCCCTGGATCTTAACCATTCACAGTTCTCTTCCACCAATCCATATTTTACTATGGGTGGAAAACCAGTTACTACAAATGGAAACAATGATGCTAGTTTCCACTCTGGTGGTTTATTTTTCAAACCCCATCACACACATGTTTAAAAGTCCCTAGGTGCAGCCCTGTTTGCAGGGGTGGTGGTGGTTCTCAAATGAAGGACCGCAACACTCCTAAGTACCATCTGAGAGAATGGAGACGGACGGGTGTAAATGAGATGGATGTTTTAGACTTAGCAAAAGTAGGGTTCAATCTTAATAAAGGAGCTGCTTATCTGATTTCAGATGAGATCAAATGAGAAAAGGTCAGGGGGACGCGGGTTGGTATCTGTTTGATGCCATTACACAGGTTTACTTTCTTTGGCTTTGTAAATAGCCATTATAAAACCTGTACATTGTTGCCTTAGAATCCATGCCTGTGATCACAAGGGAACCACTGGGGAGAGAGCCCTCCTGAGTGAGTGGACTTAGTTTATCATGGTTCCTTTTTCCTTGTATTGACATCCCATCTCATCCCACCAAAGGCTATCCTCAGTTGACAGTGTAGAAGTGGACTCTTGTGGGGATGATCCCTAAGGTATGAAGCTGGTGGTGCTGTGGGATACACAAAGGGCTGCTAACCTTGAGGTCAGCAGTTCAAACCCATCAGCTGCTCCTCAGCAACCCTATACAGTGTTGAGTTGGAATGGTCTCAATGGCACTTAGCAACAAGACCCATAAAGGAGGACAAAGGGGGAAAAGCTACTTTTGTACTCTTCAGTTGAGTTCTCTGAGTTGCTGCTGTTGTTAGGTACCATCGAAGTCGGTACCAACTCACAGTGACCCTGTGCATGACAGAACGAAACACTGCCCGGTCCTGGGCCAACTTCACAACTGTCACGCTTGAGCCCACTGATGCTGCCACCCTGCCAATCCATCTCGCTGCTGGGGTCTTCCTCGTTTTCTCTGACCCTCCACCTAACTAAACATCCTTCTCCAGTGACTGGTCCCCCCTGACCGAAGCGTGAGAGACAAAGTTTGACCATCCTGGCCTCCAAGGAACACTCTGGCTGCACTTCTTCCAACACAGATCTGTTGGTTCTTTTGGCAGCCCATGGCACTTTCAGTACTCTCCAACACCTTGCTTAGTGGAAAGGTTACATCTCTGATTAAGTAAAACTATATCCTCCATGAAGAACATTCAAGTTTGAACTCAATGTGAATGAAGTGTGTGTGCCAACACACCTGTCGTCTGCTTCCCTGCTATCTGGCGTCTATAATTGTTACGTAACTTCTCTCTGCTCCATTGGCCTCACCTGAAAAGTGGGGAGGGGAAGTACCAAATGACTGTTGAGGTAATACCAAACACATTCTCATAGGCACTGCCAGTGACGCCTGAGACCCCCTCTCTGAAAAGCAAGTAAGTCATGAATGTGACAACCAGCCATCTGCAGGTGAGAGCCAAGGTACGGACCAGGTGACGTCAAACCAACATCACTGCTACCAACGTGGATTATGATAAAATAGTAGCCACTAAAGTCGTTTTAAAAAAAACACCAAAAAATGTGTGGTTTTTAAATCAGTTTTGTGGTGGTCATTTTGTCCTAGCTAAATTGTGTAAACTGACAAATACAGCACACACCTCATACTGTCCTAATGTCCAACTTCACGTACGTCTGAAGCAGGGAGGAGGGTCTTGCCGGGTGCCAGGGAGTGCAGCTCTGGGTGTTCCACTGGTCCCCCCGGTCCCTGAGCTGCTCAGCAGCTTGTTGCTCCAGAGCGAAGTTGAGACTAGCGCAGTGTCCTGCTGATGTGGGCCCTGCCCATTGCCTGGTCATGGCCTTCAGGGAGGTACTGGCCTGTGATTGATGTCCTGTTCCTCTCTAACACCACTGCCCAGTGGCAGCCAATTGCAGGTGCCATTTTGCAAATCCCGAGGCTCTGGGAGCTAATGGAGAGCCAGATCAATATACACAATACATTGTTTGCACAACGTTCAAATCACATCCTATTTACAGAACATATAATGGGCGTGAAGTTACGCATGCCTGTATTACATTTCTCTTTCCTAAACTGGCCCAACTTGTAAGACTGCAAATCATCCTTTAACGTTATGTCTGTGATGAAGTAAGCACAGAGTTGTCCTCCCCAGGCCGTCCACCTCCTTCACTGGGCTCTAGGATAGGCTGCTGCCACCACTTATGCTGGGCCCCTACTGGGTCAGAAGTCCAGCCCACTCCTCTTTTTGGTAACAAATTGTGCTTTACTCACACATACTAAGTCACACAAGTATACACTACAGATGTTCAACTCACAAGTCACTTAAAAGTGTTTTGTGCATTAAGGATGACAATGGTTATTATACAAGTAGTCTTTAGAAATCCTCACACAATAACAGTTAAAACTGTTGCTAGTGATGTTTTTGGTAACAGTGCTCTCGACCACTGACTGTCAGAATCATAAGTGAGTGCACAAGAGTAGAGAACAACTTTCACTCCATCTTGACCAAGCAGAATCAGGCGGTGTTTCATTGTGTTGTACATCGGGTTACTATGAGTCAGAACTGGCTTGATGGCATTGACCTCAGCCCGGCCTGTGGAGGAGAAATGACTCCAGAGGGGGCCGAGAGGAACAGGTGGCTCTCTCCTTAATGGTGGAAGACGGGCGTTTCCTGCAGGCCTTTCTAGAAAAGTCTTATTCCAGAATAAACAAGCAGCACTGCTACCGTGTTTGAAGAACTTGTGTTGCTTTTTGGTGTTGATCTTTTCATGAAATGCCTATTAGTAAAAACTTGACAAGTTTTCACATCTTAATATAAACACTTCAAAAGTAAACCAAAGAGGAGCCTAAAAGCCAATCCCATTTTCCCCACATAAAGTACATATAAACTTCCAAGATTAGATGTATATTTTACTACTTTTCACAGCTTTGCATGTTCAGTCCCACAAGTATTTTGCAGTCTGTTCATTCCTGATTTTAAGTGTGGGATTCGATTCCTCTTGGATTCAAACTGTGTGGTTCCTCTTTTCATGCTGATCAAGTAAATTTACGGTATGTCTCTTATCTTCAGCATTAATAACTAAGAAAGAAAAAAAAAACACACCCAACAAATATACACACATTCTAATATTAAACAGTTGGGGAAACAAGCCCAGACAGTCCCATGTGGCATAGGTTTCTAGAACTTTACCAAAAATGCAACATTGTAATTGGGAATTTAATTCCTCATCAGGTATAAGGGATTTTAGAAGAGACTATACATATGGTCAACAGTGTACCATAAAACAAAGTGAAAACATCTTTAAAACTGTTCTGAATGCAGCCCAGAGATACAGAAATTATAGGTTGAAAAGATCTAACACATTTCTACTCTGTTCAAAAAAAGGGGGAAAGGAGATGTTTTTCAGAGATGTTGACTGAAATTTTCAAGAGGGACTAACCTGGCCAGGTAATACAGGAAGCTGTTACACTCAAACTCTGATGCGAACTATGAACTGACCGGGAAAGCAATCAAATAGAAAATCCATGAACAGACCCACGTACATATGGACATACAGTGCTTGTTAAAGGTGGCATTTGATATGGTGCTGGATCAACTAGATAGCCCTTTAGAAAAAGATAAAATTGGGTTTTACGGTGGACCGTACACCAGCATAAACTTCAAACGAACCAAATGACTCATCTGAATGTTAAATATGAAAGCAGACGAGGATTATGGAACTGTAGTGGCAACGGAGGCATGTTTAATCCCGGAATCCCTACTAAAATAACTAGATATAAAACCCTAAAACCATGGACTAGATGACTAGGAATCCCTGCAAAAACCATCCGGACACAATATCAACAGTTGATGAACCAGAGACAGCCCCATGTATAACAGGAAAACAGTGGAGCATTAACGCTCCAACAGGTGCACACAGAAAGCAAGGTTTGATGATAAGGTGTCCGTGGGAAAGACTAGACGAGCAGGTGGAGTCCGAGCCCCATGGACTTCCAACGCTGACGTACAGGGCTCCTTTCTAGGTTGTTAAATGCTGTCCAGTTCATTCTGACCCATAGTGACCCTGTATAGGGTGGGTTTTCAAGGAGCATTTGGTGAGCTTGTACTGCCCACCTAGCAGTTCAAACCGACTTTGCAGTCCAGCGCGTTAACCCACAGCGCCATACCAGGACTCCCCAGAAAACTGCTAAGTGAGGGTGAAGATTAAGGTGGACAAGGACAGGAGAGAGAAAGGAATCTGAAGTTGCAGATAAAAGTAGGGGGAGGAATTTATCCACGGGACTGACTAAAAGCCCACACCAAACACAGCCTCTTCTAACATGAGACCAGAAGAGCGAGATGGCATTCAGCCACCACCACCTAGCCCAATACATATGGACATTTGTACATCTGACCAGGGACAGGACAGATTGGCAGAAAAATTTAGAAAACTCAAAAATACTAGAAAAGGCCAGACTTAGTAGACTAATAAAGACTAGAAGAACCCCTATGACTTTTGATGTGGAATTGAAGCTACTTCCACAGGTCACACCCTTCAGCCAAATAACAGATTGGCTGATAAAGAGTGTCACCCATGAAGGATGTGCCTTCCTTAACAATGAACTATGAGACCAAAGAGCCCCCACAATGAACTACAGCAAAGGTAGGAAGGCATGGGAAAGATGGGGAGCTAGGTCAATCTAAACAGAATGGAAATAAAGGGAATGTGGATACAAAGTAAAAGTTGCAACCAATGGCATGGAACAATTAGTATGTAAGTTGTGAAAGGGGGACCTAATTTGCTGTGTAAATTTTAACCTAAAATATACGCACAAAGTGGGGGAGGCTCCACTGGCCAAAGACATGGAAGGAACTTGATCTGCAAAAAGGAAAATAAGGGCAACTGAAGGAAACTCATCAAAACTGTTGAAAGTGTATGACTTTACAGCATCTTCTAAATGGCCACCTTCAGAGGTTGAGAGGAAAACAAGTCATTAGGATGCAAAGAGGTAAATAGCAAGACAGTATCACCAGGTGACCAACAGTAGATGAGGGAAAGTGTTTAAAAATATTTCAGTTAAATGAAATAGAAATGAAGAGTTAGAATGTTCTTGTCAGTTGCCATTGAGCAATTCTGACTCCTGGCAACCCCTTATGTGCAAACTAGAACTGCGCCACAGGATTTCCAAAGCTGTGAACTTTTAGAAGCTGACCACCGGGCCTGTCTACTGAGGTGCCTCCGGGTGGGTTTGAACTTCTGACCTTTGGGGCAGGAGTCAAATGGAACTGAGCAATGAACGGCTGCTAACATCACAAGAAACCAGATGCCATGCCTCTTAAGAGAGAGCAAACCACTGCCTACTATCCTACCAGGGGCTTGAACAGAAGCCTGGTCAGTCTCTGGATCCAGCTGCCAATTTGCAGGACAGAGACAGACAATGGCACCATGAATATATATATAGTCAGCAATATCCAAGCTGTAGAAAGCTTGACAGGTCAAATCATTCTGAATGCCTTAACTGATTGTAAAGAAGAGAAAAGAAGAGGAACTTAGAGACTGAGACACTTTAGAAAATAGACAAGACCCAACTCTACTATTTCGGGGTGTCCCAGTCAGGAGGGTGGCCAAGACTGAGGGCAGGCACTGGGGCACGGGCCAGGGGCCCTCAATGGTTTTGTGTGGTTTTCTGAAGCTATATTGTGCTTTACATAAACTAAAAGAAAAATTGAGAGCCTTCAAATACAAATTCCTCTACACTATATGTGGAGAAAGCCTTTCTAACCAAGACTTAACATCCAGAAGCAATAAAAGGCAGCTTTTTAAAAAATTCTGTATGGCAAGAAACACCACTAGCAAAACAAACACTAAACGGACAGAAAGTGTTTGCAATTTATATCACTGATGAAGTCTACCTCCCAAAATTACACAAAGAGCTCTTATAAATTGAGAAAGAAAACACCAAGAATCCAACAGAAGAATGAATTTGATGTGTCTGTGAATGGGTGGGTAGATGAGGGAAAGTGTCATGAAAGAATTTCAGCTACAACTGTGAGGTGATGGTAAAATTAGAAAAGTTACCACTTTGCTACCCCCTAGGTAATTAATTACAGAGATTTAGGCAAGGGCCACCCCTCCCCCCACCTCAAAGGATCATCGTCACAGATTCTTGTTAACTGCAAAGGGAACCAGACATCTCACTGAATAGACCTGGGATCAGACTGGACACCATGGACCACACAAATGTTCAACATGACTTCAATCATGGAACAGACACATCCAGAACAGGCTTCATTTTCAAAGGCTTCGGTAATCCAAAGTGGTTATAAGAAGCAATACCACATACAGCTATAAAATGCAGCTCTGTGCATGGATCAAAGCTTCCTGACAGATGAAGTGGTCTACCGGAAAGTTCCTAAATGTTGCTGAAAAAAAGCCAGTCTTCTCAGCAGCAGACTGAGGGCTTCAACTCAGAGAATACACACTCTGAAGCACCTTTATCATTCTGGGACCCAATCCATCGCCTCTCGGAACCACCCGCCCTTACTTTCAAAGGCATCTGAGGACAAGAGAGTCCCCTTTAAATGACGAATTACTGACAATATTCTCGTTGGGAGCCCCATGTATGGTCAGTGCCGATGGGAAGAATCAGAAAGGGAGCACAGGATATAACAAGCAGTACATGAGAGGTGAACCTCATCTCAGTTTTTACCATTTATGCTTTTGTCGTTCTCCACAATGGCTGCCTGTTTATCCATTTCAGGTTCTGCCTCATTTTCATCCACATTGTAACCATCATCTCCGACCAGTGCTTGCTGGTTTCTCCCTGAAAAATTGGCAGACACGTGGCACATGAGCTACATCAGTTCTCTACCCACGCCACAGGGACACCAGCATCCCAGGACTGGGGCTTATCTAACCGTCAGATCTGTTTCCTGTCTCGGAAATGGGAGGGGTGTGAATGCTTGCTGGCCATGCAGACAGCCTGCAGGATCGCTGCATGCACGCATGCATGCACGCACACTCCATTCCATTCTACTTCATACAAGACCCGGCCCTGATTTAAGGGCCATATTCCAGACTGGAAAAGGGGGAGCTAACTAAACCCAAATCCCAGGCTTTAAGAGATTTATGAACTCAAGGTTAAAGAAAGGTACTGCTGATTTAGGGAACAACCGTTTTCTAGTTATCAACAGCAAAAGGAAATCATCGCCCCAAGAGGAAGAAATGGTCAGTATTGTGAACCACGGGATAAAAACTGTCTATCACGCAGACTTAGATCATTAATGATCACATTCACCTCTGGAGAGGATAACAACCTGAAAAGAAAACCAGGATAAAATGCATTCAAGAGACATAGTTAAAGGGTTTAAATATTCCATCTGTTTTACATGGCACGGTGGGTTAGTGAGCTGGACTGCAAGGTCAGCAGTTCAAGCTCACCAGCCACCCCTTGGAAACTCTATACAGGGTTGCTATGAACTGACTGGACAGCACGTAACAATAACAAATAGGTACAAAACCCAAACCTAGGCCACTGCCTTCAAGTCAGTCCTGACTCACAGACCCCACAGGACAGAGGAGAACTGCCTCATAGGGTTTCTGAGCCTGTCATCATCTTTAGGGAAGCAGACAGCCACGTCGTTCTCTCAAGGAACAGCTGGTGGATTTGAACCACTGACCTTTCATTTAGCAGTCTAATACTTAACCAACTATGCCACCAGGCTTCCAGATGAAGAAAACTGTTTTTGAGAAAGCATGCCTAGAAAAGTCAGCTCTGGTGCTATTTCTCTGCACTGCCTGAGACGAACTTGGAGCACAGGGCTGCGTGCCTGGGGGTTTACTCTACAGTGAACTGGTGACAAAGGCATGTGGAGAGAGGGCCATCACGGAGGCCCTGCAGTGGCTCAGGCCAAACCCCTCTGTGACCAGTTGCTGGATGAGCCATCCGAGGTTCTCTCTCCCCACCTCTCTTGGTACAAGTCACTGTACAACAGTGTGGAGAGCAGGGGCCAGAGCAGGGATACTCAGGGGCAGGCAACAAAACGCAGCTCTTCAACTGGGAACTTGAAAATGAGATTTGGATGGAATCCATGTACACAAATAAGGCCTTCTCCCATACTGCTGTGCCTTGTTCTACCCCAGAGAAACGCACTGCCTCAGCACTGCTCTTGGCTCAGCTGGGACTGATAGTGTCCAAATCTTTAAGGAACCAAAACACATCCCAGAATATTCCGTGGGTCTCAGTTTCCCATACTTTTCAGTATCTGTTTTAAAAGCCAACCTATCTAGAAATGTGGCTTCACGCTACTTTTCCTCAAAGCTCAAATGTGCAATAGTCTCCATCTACCTTGAACCACAAGATCTATGGTTCAAGCTCACCAGTCACTCCTCAGAAATGCTATACAGGGTTGCTATGGGTCGGAACCGACTCGACGGCACTTAACAACAACAAAACCTAAGCAATGGCTCATTCAGCGGGCCTGTCCTGAGTATCCACACTATTCCTGACACTGTATGGGGCAGAGAGGACACAGGGCTGCCACTCTGATAGCATTCACCAGGAAGTGTGGATAAGGGTCAGAGTGTTCCCTGCTCTTCCTTGTTGTTATTAGGTGCCGTCGAGTCAGTTCCAACCCATAATGACCCTATATAGGGTTTCTGAGGAGCCGCTGGTGAGCTTGAACCACTGACCTTGCAGTTCAAACGGCTTTGCAGTCTGACGCATTAACCCACAGCGCCACACCAGGACTCCTGTAACTGATAAACCAACACAATGAACCTCCACACCCTAAGCTGCTGCGTTAGGGAGGAGACCACAGGGCTGGATGCAGGCAGGACGGAGTCAGCGGGCGCCTGAGACAGAGTCTTCCACCCACCTGGCTTATCAGCACCCTGCTCCTCATTCTTCTCGTCATCGCTGATGAAGAACTGCTCCCGCTCAGGCTCCTCATTCTCTGTATTTTCCTGGCTCAACGGGGCAGCTGGCACTTGTGGGGTTTGGCTCAGTTCTCCGGCTTCCCCGGTACCTCTTCCCTTAGCGAGCTTGTCATCTTTGGTGGCCTGCTCCCGGCCTGGCTCCTGTGGCAGCATCAGGTGCCGAGTCTCCTCCTGGCTGACAATCTGAATCTCATTGGTCTCCTCTGCAGAGAACACAGTTAGCTGACACTTAATTTGCATTTAAAAACAAGCAACATGGATGGATTGGGCTACAGGTGGGCTAGCATCTGGGTAGAGTTGGTTTGTAAGTTCAAGTCTCTCTCCTGTCTGAAGTTCATCTTTAAAACTGTGAGCTAGAGAAAACTCCCAACTGCCGCTGTGGACCACATGGAACAGGCTGTGCTGCTGGTTTTAGCTGACTGTTGCAGCTGAGGCAAGTACTCGGAGCTGGGCTGTGCCAGCCCACAGGGGCACAAAGATCTGGTCCGAGGCTCGCAGCTGCCTAGACTCAGCCATCTCTCCCTAGTCCCACTGATGTCCCAAATAAAAGCACTTGCTTTACAGTTTCCAAAGAATAAGACACGTGGCTGACAAGAATACAGCCCCAATTCCAGATGCATGGGCACTCACCTGCCATCAGCCAGCCACCATCACCAAGCACACTCTGTCCTTGCAAACTTAGATGGCGTGGGAGCCACAAGCCAACAGCTTAGCTGCTCTGGAAATGATTTACAAGTGTAACTGTCTGACCTCCACTTACCATCCGGTCTCTTCACAGCCACAGGTGTTTCAGAACTGGGCGCTGGGGTCTGGGGCTTGCTGTTGCTGGGAACATTTCCTTTCCTTTGTGACTCTGCTGCCTGTGGTGGGCTTGATTCCTGTGACCTAGGCTGAAGCTCACTGAGGGACTGGAGCTGAAACAAGAGCACAAGGTAGCCAGGGCAGGGGCTCTGTGACCGTACACCTTCCAATAACCCCTCAGCAGTACAACAAACCACCACATGCCCCTGACAAGAACACACAAACCCCGAGAAATGCCATGATGTGTCTGCCAGAACTTGTATCAGACAGCTGAAAGTTGAGTCAAGATCTCCCGGAATGTATTTTCAATAATGAACAGAACAATGAAGCAGAGATGAATAAACAAATAGAGATCACCATCCCAAACTAACTAGGCCTAACAGGCTTGCCCACCAAGAAGAGCATACACATTCCCTTCAGGTGCACATGGGCTATTCCTCAGGTTGTAAGTCCATAAAACAACACTCAATTTGTGGTGCTACAGGATAAGCAAGGTTGGCGGTTCAAACCCACCAATCACTCCTTGGAAACCCTACACAGTGCGGCTAGGAGTAGGAACCGAATCAAAGGTACTTAAGAACAACAACAACAACAACAACAACAGTAATTGTAAAGTCACACAGACTATGTTCTCTAACCATAGTGGAATACAACAACAACAACAACAGACGGAAATTAGAGAAATTCACAAATGTGTAAATTCAGTAACTCATCTCCAAGTAACCAATGAGTTAAAGAACAAATTACAAGGCATACTCAGGAAACACTCTGAGATGAATACAAATAAAAACAATATATAAAAATACAGAAGTCAACTTAACCAGTGTGTAGAGGGCATTTATAACTAAAAGTGCACCTATATTAAAATAGAAGATGTCAAATTAAAAACCTAAACTTCCACCTTAATATACTAAAGCAAGCATAATGAAGGAAAACAATAAGGATTAGAAAACAATTTTATGAACCAGAGAATAAAAAGCCAGTAGAGAAAATCAAGGAAAACAAGTTAGTTCTTGGAAAAGATGAACAAAATTGGCAAACCTTAAACTAGATTAACTAATAAAAAAGGAGAAAACACTCAATACAAATTTTTAAATGCAAGGGAGTATCACAGCCAAGCAACACCATGAGCGATACAGTAATTCTATGAACAAGTACAGGCCGACAAATTAGCTAACTTAGAGAACATGGACAGACCCCTGGAGGGCACAAATTACCAAAAATGACTCAAGAAGAAACAGAAAGTCGGAGCAGCTCTAATAACAACTTGTTTACTAAATTTTTCCTCCTCAAAACGAGGAGGGTATTCCTGAGTGTTTCTGTGTACATCCCTGCCCACCCAGGCCCACCCCTACCCCCCCACTGGGAAAAAAACAACAACAGAGGGAATGTAAGCAAATACTGTTGAATGATGATGCACAGAGGAGATTGTAATCACTGTAATGAAACGATGGTGCAAAGCCAATGTTCTCCCATGTAAACTATCACTCAGCTCACAATAAAAACATTAAAAAAAAAAAAAAATAAGAGGAAGGAACATTTCCCAACTTATTCTAAGAGCCCCACATCACAGAATACCAAAACAAGACAAAAATATCAAAAGAAAATCAAACTGTAGACACTAAAATCCTCAGCAAAATATATGAGGATTGGGAGCACAGGGGCTCTACAGGATCAGCACTGGACTGCAAACCACAAGGTCCACGGTTCGAGCCTGCTGAGCTGCTCTGCAGGAGAAAGATCAGGCTTTCTGCTCCCTTAAATATATGTTGGAACTGACTCAATGGCACTTAATAACAATAACACATATAAGGATTACACACCACAACACAACAGGATTTCTTCAAGAATGGAAGGCTAGTTCAACATCTAAAACTCAATGAATGCAATATGCCCTGGATAGCAAATAAAGGACCAAAACCACATGTTCATTCACCTCCAAAGATAAAAAAAATTGACAATATCCAATACCTCTTCTGTGTGTGTGTGTGTTTTCAAAGATCCTCAACAAATTAGAAGGAAACTTCCCCAACCTGATAAAGGGCATCTGTAACATCAGACTTAGAGTAAATGACTGAATGCTGTCCCCAAAGAGACAGGATGCCTGCCCTTACCACTTCTATTCAACACTGTACTGGAGCTGGCAGCAGGGAATTCGGCAGAAATCAAAAGCATCCGGATTAGACAGGAAGAAGTAAAGCTCCCTCTATTTACAGATGCCAAGGAATCCACACAAAAAAGGATTAACCGACTCAGCAACCCTGTATAGGGTTTCCAAGAAACAACTGCTGGGTTTGAACCACCAACCTTGTGGCTAACAGTCTGGTATTTATTCTACAGTTCCACACCACCAATAGATGTAAGATCAATTTGCAAAGGTAAATTATACTTCTTACACTATCAAATAAATCCAAAAATGAAATTACAATAACATCTCCTGTTTAAAAAATAGGAGCATTAAACAATTTAAGACTAAATGGAACAAAAGAGGGATAAGATATTGTTGAAAGAAATTAGAGAAGATCTAGATGAACGGAAAGACATTTCATACTGATAGACTGTAAGACTTTTGTCATTTTAAGATGCCAGCATGCTGGAAGCCCTGGTAGTGTTAGTAGATTACACTCTGGCCTGTTAACCACGAGGTCAGTAGTTCAAGTCTACCAGTCACTCCACAGGAGAAAGATGAGGCTTTCTGCTCCCATAAAGATTGGAGTCCTGTTGTGGCACTGCTAACCACAAGATAGGTGGTTCAAACCCACCAGCTGCTCCTTGGAAAACCTATATAGGGTCACTACGAGTTGGAACCGACTTGTGACCCTGTATAGGGTTTCCAAGGAGCGGCTGGTGGGTCTGAACCACCAAAACAAGAGGCTTCAGTGTTCCCAAAACAAGAACAGTGTCTCTCTTGCAGGCTGGCTATGAGGCTTAAATGAAACAATTCCCAGAAAGCCCTATGCGTGGACACTCTGGTCTGGAGCTAGCACACTGGGTCAGAGTCAGGACATCCCAGGGACCCAAAGCCACAAGGAGAGAAGAGGTTAAGGAGAGGAGAGAGTAGAGTGTATCAGACAGCAGATAAGAAGAAAGAACATATGGCCCACATGGAGTGTGGCACTGGGAAGCCTTGGCAGAAAAGCTCGAGAATTACCTGCAGATCTCTTTTTTCATCCAGGTCTATGGAAGCCAAAGCTTCATTTCCCTTTTTGGTGACTTCCTCTATCTGCTCTTCACACTGCTCCTTCACCTCTTTCATCTGACTGATGCACTGGCTCCTTCAGTGACATACAAACAAAAACAAAGGACACGTCTTTACAGAGCATCTATGCATGCAGTCATCCCCACGGCCCGAGACACGCAGGTCGGTGAGAGGCACAACCGTGGGGCCCTGCGTCAGGTACTTCTGTCTGAAGAGGACACGAAGGAGGGCCAGAGGCGTTTTAAAGAAAATCAGAGTTAACAGCCACTTACTAAAAAAGCGTCATGTTGTTCTCAAACAAATGAACTGTAATGCTTAGGGGAAGCAATTTTTAAATTACATTCTAATTCAGCCTGGGCTGTGAATCAGCTAAGGTACTCTGGGGGACAGCTTCAGCTTTCAGCCTGAAATTTATTTAAAGGGTATCTCAGCAAGCTTCAGAGCTGTGAGGTAACTGTAAGAATTTCTGGTCTTCTCCCCATCTCCTTATGCAACAAATAAGGAAGCTACTGTCAGATGTGCACCCAGTTGATTAAGCAGAAAGTGGAACCAGGCCTTCTGCTCCCAGGTTCCAGCCTTCTGCTCCCAGGTCCCAGGCACACGAGAACCAAGGGTGAAATGACAATCTCTAACACTCAGATACACCTTTCAGTTCAAAGCATTTCCTGGGCCACAGCATACACCACACACGAAGGATCTCAGGTGCTTTTGAAAGAAAGACCTACCGAGTTCCTGGCCGATGGCAGCATACAGACCAAGAGCCTATTGAAACTGTCATCTAATTCTATTCTCACAACACAGAGCCATGCCACAGAGTGGATTCCAACTCAGGGTGATCCCATGTGTGTCAGACTAAAACTCTGCTCCATAGTAGTTTAATGGCTCCTTTTTCAGAAGTAGGCTGCCAGCCCTTTCTTCTGTGGTGCTTCTGAGGGGAATCAAACTGCCAACCAAGCACGTTAACTCGGCACCACTCAGGGACTCCATTCAGTCAATAAACGGAGCTAAGTTATAGGGACATACAGGGCTTGACCACCAGTGATTATTCTAATGGTATAATTGCTGGCCAGAATAACTTTAGTCATTGTTGTTGTTAAGCCCACAGTGCCACACACCAGGGCTCCACATCATTAGTGGAATGTGCTAAATACAAGAATCTATCTGGGCAGAGGACCCAACCACCCCGCAAAGAACAGCTTCTGTAAGTTCTATTCCCCCTTGGCAAAGAGATGACATAGTGAGCAATTCATCTCCTATGCCAAGTGCTGTAGGATAAAGACAGGAAGGCTGTGTCTGGATGGAACACAGTCATTGTTTAGTAATGTCTGTCACAGATGAAGGAGTAGCAAATAGGGACATGTGTCCCAGGTATCTTCTGACTCTGATGTTAAGGAGGGAGCACAACATGCACTACATTGCTTTCTATGAAAAGATGAGAATAAAAGTTATTTTAACCAGGAGTCTGAAGGGATGCTTAAGGAGGCCTATGAGCACCTACCTACTAAAGGCACAATTTTATGAATACGTTGCTGTTGGTGTTAAGTGCTGTCGAGTCAGTTCTGACCCACAGTGGCCCTGTATAGGGTTTCCAAGGAGTGGCTGGTGTGCTTGAACCACTGACATTGTAGCTCAAATTGACTTTGCAGTCTAGTGCATTAACCCTCATATTAATCTGCTAACATGGTATCCATACTGCATCCCCCAAAAGTATGTGTCAACTTGGCTAAGCCATGCTTCTCAGTGCCATGCTGTGACCTGCCATTATCCTGTGTGCTCACCTTCCCAATGCCTGAGGCACGGCTAGAGGCTGTCATGGCGATGAGGCAGGGTGCAAGCTACAGGAGTTATCTGTAGCTTGAGCCCATCAATTTTAAGATATAAAAGAGATTAAACAAGTAAGCAAAGATCAGAGGGATCCTCAGTTGGGACTGACTCCACGGCACTTAACAACAACAAATACCACCAAGAAAGAAGAACCAGGAGCAGAGGGCATCCTTTGGACCTGGCGTCCCTGTGCTGGGAACCTCCTAGACCCAGGAGCCACAGAGAGGTAAAGCCTTCTTCGAGAGCTGTCGCTCTGAAGTCTAGCCCCCTCAACTTAAAAGCCGAGATTACCTCAGCAAGATGGTAAGTGGAAAGATAATTCTGGTGAGGGCTAAGAGGGGAGTGAGGAGAGCTGTAACACGGACACAGTGATGGGAAGCAGCAACCAAGAAATGGCAGTAGGACCAGGAGACTAGCATGAGACTGCACAGGGGCCAACCCTGGACATGACAACTTTCAGATCGAGGCCTACTGGTGGAGAGGGTGCCTCTGGGCACTTATTGGTGGAGCTAAAAAGCTGTGAACACTGGTCTGAGCAGGTGAAAGGCTGGGCTGGCCTCTTTGAGAAATCAAGGAACCAGGAAGCAGAAGCTGAAGAGACAAGGAGAATGAGACACAGAGCTGCCTCAACTCAAAAAGTAGGTCCACAGCCTCTAAGGTCTCAAAGTATGAAGCCATGTCTTCTGGGGTTTGTACAGCTGGGACCACAGCTTCCTTAGGTGTCAAAGAGTCCAATGTTTAGCAGCTCAGTTCCACAGTGTGGGGCTGCCATTCAAATGTGCCAGGGGGTGGAGCCAGATCTGCTGCCCAAAGCTGAGGGATGGAGCTGTATGCCCAATGGGCAGAAGAACAGGGCCTCAAGAGCTTAGGAGGTAGGGCTGCCACTGCGCTGGACTAGCAGAATGAGGGTGTCAAAAGCCAAGGGGGCAGAGTTGCTGTACCAGTGTGCCTGGCAGTCAGAGCTGAAGCCCAGGGCTAAGGGGTCTTCACCCAGAGTCCTCTGGAGGGCAGGGCCTAGAGAAGTTGCTCTGCCAGATTCTGGACTTGCTTGGTACCTGTTGTTTCTATCATTAGTATGCAATGTTTACCTGGTGCCTGCTCTACCATGGTACTTTGGAAACAACTTGTATTTTATATTTCACATGTCACAGATGAAGAATTTTGCCCCAGGAGACTTTGAACTTTAAGTTGATTTAAAAGTTTGGGGATGATTATGATGGGATAAATATGTTTACATGTAATAAGGACATGAACTTTGGGAGAGCCAAAGGGTAGAATGGTATGGACTGAATTTTGTTCTCCAAAAATGTGTCAACTTGGCTGGATCATATTCTCTGTATTATGTAATAATTCTCAGTTTTGAGATCTAATATAATTATCCTGTGTTATAAGTCTTACCTCTATGTTATTAATGAGGCAAGATTAGAGATGTGTTAATGAAGCAGAATGCAATCTACAGGATTAGGTTGTGTTTTGAGTCAATCTCTTCTGAGATACAAAAGATTCAACAAGCAAGCAGAGCTCAGGGGGACCCACTACCACCAAGAAGGAAGAGTCGGTAGTGGAGCGTGTCCTGTTGACCCAGGTCTCTGCACTGGAAACCTCCCAGACCCAGGTGAAAACAGATGAAAAGCACCTTCCCACAAAGCTGGCAGAAGAGAGAAAGCCTGTGTCTGGAGGTGGCACCCTAAACTGTGAGAAAATAAATTTCTGTCAATGTCCAGTTGTATTTCTGTTATTGCCACACTAGATCACAAAGACAATACATTCTTTCTCAGATTCTTAAAGGTTCTATAAGCCAAAGAAAGTAATGGATGCAGGGTCTTTGGGTGCAGCGAGAGAGACAAACGCAGTCAACCAGAGAGAGCTTTCAATCTCACTATCAACCTCCTTGGAGGGAAAGGAGTATGGCATGTATGCATACCTCACCCAGGTGACACTTCCACGGCACTGGGCTGATTCCAAACTAGGTCAGTAACACTTAAGTGAGGCCATTCAGATTTTTATGTGGTTTGGTCAATGGAGGGGAAATATTGGTGTTAAAGTGTCTTTTAGGATGAACTGCAAAAGTGTGGTGCTTCATTTCTGTCTGAATATATATACATTTTTTATTGTTAGCCTATCACAATCGATAACTCTTCGTTGTGGGGCTGTACTGTACATTACAGAGAGTTTAACTACATCTCCCGACTCTACACACTAGGCGTCAGTAACAACTCTCTCCTTGCCAAGTGCTGATAACCAAAAATATCTTCAGACATTGTCAAATATCCACTGGAGGACAAAACTGTCCCCCACTGAGAACCACTGGCTTAGCTGAATGAGTTTCTGCATGCTTACTAATTCTATCCCTTTGTGTTGATTGCTTATGTCCTTTGAGCATTTATGTACTGGGGGCTTCATGTCTTAGTTGTATTTGGTTCTAAAGGGACCAGAAAGACAAAAGAAGATGCTCTTTTAGACAAACACAGGATGCACTATGGGAACAGATGGTATGGGAAATTGTTGCTCTCTTATACTGATTGTAAGAGTAATTTGCAGAGGGCAAAATCCTTTCAAAAAGCAATTTGGCAATTTACACCCTAAACGTATGGGAGAGTAAGTGAAAAATACTGCTACTGGGGTTCCAGTTCATACATGCACAAGTTTATTTCAAATAAAATGTGTTTAAGGTGATCAATGAAAGGTTGCTGACAAGTTCACTTAGTCATACACTTGTCGTCTTCTTCTTTTTTTGTGGTTGTTGTTAAGTGCTGTGGAGTTGGTTCTGACTCATACCGACCCTGCATAGGGTTTCTGAGGAGCGGCTGGTGAGTTTGAACCACTGACCTTGCAGTTCAATCTGACCTTGTGGTCCAGTGCTTATCCTACAGTGCAAGGTCCAATCATAGCAATAGGTTCTCAGGGGTCTGTTGGGCCAGTTAAATTCAAGGCAGAGAGGTCAGCTCAGACAGTTAGGGCAACTGGTTTGGGAGATTCCAAACGAGTCATCTTGATAGATTTTCTTGAAGGACACAGGGCAACCAGAGGAGCTTATTTACAAGCAGTTCTAAGAAAACTGAAAACTACACTGATGATAAAAGAGGGCAGAAAAGTCATGTGGAGGAATTTTTGACACTGTACCTGCTCATTCTTCAAGATTAGCAAGAATTCTTTGTTGGAAACTGTACTCTATCCACCCTATAACCATAATCCTGCCCTTCAGACTTCTTTTTATTCCCCAATCTCACAGAGCATTAGACAGAAACTCATCCGTGAGTGCCTTGAGGATAACAAAAGTGCTCTTTTGAGGAGGTGGAAATCAAAGTGCTCCGAATTCTTCAAGGAAGGGTTAGAAACAATACCTTCACATTCTAATATTTTTGTTTGATAAAGGTTTCTATGACTTTATAGCAGTAGTTTTTTGTGTGTAGTACCCTTGTACAGTTGAATCTTTTCCACAAGGAAATACTTCAAGATAATAATTTTTGAAGTTATATAATGATGCCACTGGGTCTAAGCAAGTTATATGAACCCAAATTTAGAAGCAACCTACATATTCAATAAATAGAACATGGTTAATGAAAATGTGGTTCCTATACATGATGGAATTTCAAATAGCCATTTTTAATGATAAGATATTTTTGGAACACATTCCAGTATTTTATATATAAGGCCAATAATAAAAACAACTCAATTTTTTAAGGAGCTCTGATACCGTAGTGGTTACGAATTGGGCTGCGAACCACGAGGTCAGCAGCTCCACACTACCAGCTGTTACGTGGGAGAAAGATGAGGCGTTCTGCTCCCGTAAAGATTTACAGCCTCGGAAACCCTGTACAGAGTCGTAATGAGTCAGAACCAACTCCACGGTACATAACTACCACCACCACTCAGTTTTTTATATATAAGGCCAGTAATAAAAACGACTCAATTTTTTTATGCATAAGGCCAATAATGTCAACTATTTTATGACATCTGTGATTATGTTAACAAACCCCTGTGTACTTAGACATGGATTGCCATAAGGTTAAATCAAAGGAAAAAGAAGCTGAATGAAGGCTGGGCAACCCAGACATCCCACCTCTAGTTACATTGTTTTATGAGAACAAAAAAAAAAGAAGGAAAACTACAGAGTATGCAGACTACACACATTTAAAATTGTTTTTTTAACTATCTTGTTAAAGGGTTTAGGTCACTTCTGCTTTGATTACAATATTACTTGGTTCTAACTAAAAAACAATTGGAAAAAAACCTGATACATCACAGAAAATAAAATGCCCACAGAGCCAACACCCAGCAATAAACTCTGCTGATACTTTGCCAAAACGTCCTTATCTGTGGGTATGATTGCACTAACCTCTGAGCACTTTGGGAACACATTTTTAAAGGTTTCAGATTACTGACTTATCCAGTCCACCTGCACTTTATAGAGATAATCTGCCCGGTTTTAAGAGATGTGTTAAGACACTTCCTGTTAAGGAGAGCTGGCGTGTGGGTATGTGTGTTCTCCTTTATTCTTTATCCTGTATCATGACCCCCTAGCTAACACATACATGGCTTCCTGAAACCCTGTTGACATTTAAAAAATAAAATCCATTCACCTTACATGGGCCCTGCACACAGCCGACTCTGGGTTCATGCTCTCTAACCGGAAGGGTGACTCTGCCCTGAGCCCTTAGCTTCTAACTCGCTGATCTCCGGCAGGGCTCACACACAATTAAGCTGCACTTACAGGTCATAGGAGAACTTCCTCTCCAGGTTGGTCTGATTCTTCTGAAACTGGAGAACGTCCTGCTGCAGCGTGCCATAATTCTTCTGCAGGGTCTTTAGCTGGTCTGGGGAAAAGGAAGTCAAGAAATTGCACGGGTCTCTGACACGGTCCTCATGCTATTCACCCAAACAGGGCGATGGCAGGCCAAGTCAGCCACAACCAACCCACCCTCTGCTGTCAAACCAATTCCAACCCATGGCAACCTCCCGTGTTACAGAGCACAACTGCTTAAGAAGGTTTTCTTGGCTGCCAACTTTTCAGACGCAGACCACAGGGCCTTTCTCCGTGATGCCCCTGGATGGATTCAAACCATCAACTTTGGGGTCAGTAGTGAAGCGCAGTAGACACATCAATCCAAGCTCTGGGACTCAAAAGAGAGTGTGGGTGGGAGAGAGAAGAGGACAAGAGCCCAGCTCCCTAGGAATTGCCAGGTTCTAGCCACGGAACTGCTTCAAAACTCTCATGATCCTGTATGAACCTGCATCTTGATTCTTTTTTCAAGGGTCACTTTTTCTTCCGTAAATACCCGTTTGGACCAAGTCCTTAAATGCAGTAGGGGGCTCTATTAGCCTTATTCTTAGACAAAGTAAGCCCAAGCAGGCCCACAAGGGCACCCCTCATGATGTCCCTGCCCCCAGCAGATTTATCCTGTGTGTGCAGCTCTGACCCAAACACTGGTCAGCTAAGCAGCCACCACAACCTGCTGGACACACTGCCCTCAGCGGTCAGGCCACACGCCAGCATTATTCTCCTGCCATTTGTTTACAGTCTAGCTGTACTCTGAGGTCCTGTGTTCACTCACTCGCCAGCTCTCTTAACTGGAAGGCAGCATGCTCTTTGAGGAAATTCACCTGCCCCGTCCATGCCGACCTGATGACTTGGCTCCTTCCTAACAACTATGTAGGGAAGGGCAGCAGCTGCTGTGTAAAGTCAAGCTGTGGGCGGAAGGAAATGCACTGGCCACAACCCCAAACACAGCCCCCTGCACAGACGCCACAGCCCCAGGGTTTCTTCTCAAAACAGGGACCTGCCAGACTCCCGGGAAGAAATAACATGAAATCAAATGAGAGATTCCATGAACTACTAATGAACAACGTGGATATACAACATGGATCAACCTCAAAAGCATTTTGCCTAAGAGCCAAAAGATGAGAACAACCCAAGGATGAATGCACGCACAAAACAGGGTGTATCCCAAAGAAAGAACTTAAATTCTGATACATGCCACCACATGGATTAACTTTAGAAACATCATGAAAGAAACCACATACAAGAGGACCAAGACTGTCTGAGCCCATTCAAAGGAAACACCTAGCTCAGGCAAGTTTATAGAGACAGGTCGCCAGGGGCTGGGGGCTAAAAGAGTGGGAGTCAGTGCTGAAGGGGTGCTGAGATTCATTGAGGGTGATGAGGAACTTTTGGCACTGGACACTGGTGAGGACTGCACAGTGTGGTGAATGTCATGAATGTGACTGAATTGCACCCCAAAGAAAATGGTTACCATGGCAAACTTTTTGCTACATATATGTCACCACAATAAAAATGTAAAAGTATATATTTTGCTAAAAGAAGCCGGCCTCAAAGAGTCATATAGGGTCTCTCTCCATTTATATAGCATCCTGGGAAAGACAATAACATGACTAAAGACAGCTCAACAGGTGGCCGGAAGCTGGGTGGAGGGGTGCGGAGGGGGAGTTTTATAGCATGAAGGAGTGTCCAGTCTTAATTGTGATGGTGGCATGTGAGATTGAACACATTTGTTAAAACAGACAGAAATGTACACTACAAAGGGTAAGCTTTACTTGATGTGAATTATACGTCAATGAACCTAGCTATCAAAAGGAAAAAGGCGCAGGTTCACTGGGCTGCTGCTCGGGAGACACAGCTTCCCTGAGGGGGTGCAGTGGCTGCTGGGAAAGAGCTGTGTGCTCATGTTCCCCTCCTTCTCCTCCTCATTTCCTTGCCAGCAGTTATCCAAAGGAACACATGAACTATTACACCCACAGCAATACGGAAAAGTCACAAAATAAGCATGCTGAGTGAAAGAAGCCAGACAGAAAGGGAACACACTACTTGATTGCATTTATACTGCAAACCATGAGGTCAGAAGTTCAAACCCACCAAACTGCTCCTCAGAAACCCTATAGAGGGACGCTATGAGTTGGAACTGAATCAACAACACTTAACTACAACAACATATTAAAATGCAGATTTCTACAGGGAGAGAAGACGCACAGGAAATGTCTCGCAATGATGGGTGTGTACACTATGTTAATGGGGGGGGGGATGTATGAATCCATCACAAAATCTGTCCAAAACTGCCAAGTGGACACTTTAAATATGCATACTTTGTTGTTGTTGCTACATGTCACTGTGTACATGTGGAGACACAGAGGCCCTAAGTACAACAGAACGAAACACTGCCTGGTCCTGGACCATTCTCAGAATCATTGATAAGTTCACTGTTGCAGCCACTGTGCCAATCCATCTCACTGAGCATCATCCTGTTTCCAGCTGACACTCAATTATACCAAGCATGATGTTCTTGTCCAGGGACTGGTCCCTTCTGATCACATGACCAAAGTACATAAGACAAAGTCTCACCATCTTTATATCTAATGAACATTCTGGCGGCACCTCTTGCAAACAAATTAATTTATTCTTCTGGTTGTTGTTGTTAAGTGTTGTCAAGTCAGTTCTGATCCAAACTGACCTTTAAAGAATTTCCAAGGAGTGTCTGGTGGGTTTCAATCACCAACCTTGAGGTTTGCAGTCCAGTATTTATCCTACAGAACCACACCAGGACTCTATTCTCCTGTTGTGACTAGAAGCCACTGAGTCAGTACCGACTCATAGCGACCTTATGCACAACAGAACGAAACACTGCCTGGCCCTGCACCAACCTCACAATCACTGCTACATTTGAGCCCACTGCAGCTACCACTGTGCCAATCCATCTCATTGGGGGTCTTCCTCTTTTTCACTTACTCTCTGTTTTAACAAGCATGATGTCCTTCTTCAGGGACTTGTCCCTCCTGATAATATGTCCAAAGTATAAAAGATGAAGTCTGGCCATCCTGGCTTCTAAGGAGCATTCTGGTTGTATTTCTCCCAACACAGATTTTGTTCATTCTTCTGGCAGTCCACGGTACTGTCAATATTCTCCTCCAATACCATAACTCAAATGCATTGATTCTTCTATGGCCTTCCATATTCATTGTCCAACTTTCACTTGCAGGTGAGGCTATTGAAAATACCATGGTATTTTCAGACGCACCTTAGTCCTAAACTGACATCTTTGTTCTTGGCCACTTTAAAGTCATGTGTAGTCCATCAATTCTTCTTTGATCTTCCTAATTTATTTACCAGCTTTCACATGTATATGAAGCAATTGAAAAAACAGGGCTTTGGGTGAGGCGCACCTCAGTGACATCTTTTGCTTTTTAAAGAGGTCTCTTGCAGCAGATGTGTCCAATGGGACACAGCATCTGAATTCCTGACTGCTGCTTCCATGGGATTGGATTGTAGATCCAAATGAAATGACATGCTTGACAGCCTGGATATTTTCTCCAATTATCATGATGTTGCTCATTGGTGCAGTTATGAGGACTTTTGTTTTCTTTGTGTTGAGATGTGGTCCATTCTTAAGGCTGCAGTCTTTGATCTTCATCAGGAAGTGCTCCAAGCCCCCTTCCCTTTCAGCAAGGACAGTTGTGCCATTGGCGTATCGCAGGTGGTTAACAGGCCTATCTCCAATCCTGCTCCCAAGTTCATCTTCATACAGTCCCATTTCCAGGAGCGTTTGCTCAGCATACCAATCCAGTGTGGATCTTACAGGTATCACACATTTCAACTTACACACTAGTTTTCAGTGAGAATTCTTGACCTGAATTTAGATTTCATAAAACTGAGGTATAAAAGTAAATCAATATATCCAAGATGCCCCAAGCAGATCTAAATTTCCCAATAACTGAGTCAAGTATCTCATTTAAATTTACACTAAATGCTTTAATTCCACTTTTCCAGAAACTTTTTTAAGACCCCTCATATATCTGTCTGTTTCACTCTGTCTCTCTCTGTATATATATGTATGTCTGTGTGTACATACACATATATGGGCCAATCTATCAACATATATATGTTGCTGTTGAGTCAGTTCTGACACAGAGAGAGAGAGAGAGAGAGAGAGAGAGAGAGAGAGAGAGAGAGAGAGAGAGACAGTGGTTCCCTAGTAGAATCCTCACCTTCCAGATGGGAGACTGGAATCTAATTCCTGCCAATTGACTCAATTGTCTGTGGAGGCTCGCATGTTGCTTTGAAGCTAAAAAGATTTCAGTGGAGCTTCCAGATTAGGAATGTCTAGAAGAAGAGCCTAGCAATCTACTCCCCAAAACCAGCCGATGAAAACCAACTGACAATGGATCACAGGACAGCAGAGGACTGGGCAGTATTTCATTTCATTGTACATGGGGTCGCCATGAGTCATGGGCCAATTCAACAGGAAAAACATACTAAGTTATACAATCTACAGTAATATATGTATCTCTACACACACACACACAATACACACAAAAGCACGTACACACACATACATATTTCTTAATCTATTAATGGTAAGAGCCTGAATTCTTCCGTATGTAGCAGCTAAAAAACAAACACAAAACAACCAAAACTGTCATTGAGTCGATTCCAGCTCCTACAGAACACAGCAGAATCTCCCAGTGTTTCCAAGACTGTAAACCTTTATGGGAGCCGACAGCCACATCTTTCTACTAAAGAGCTACTGGTGGGTTTGAACTTCCAACCTTGCAGGTTAGCAGCTCAATGCTTAACCCATTATTACACCAGGGTTCCTTCCTGCAACAGCTTGCTTGTTATTTTAGTGCCGTAGAGTTAATTCTGACTCATAGTGACCCTGTATAGAGTTTCCGAGGAGCAGCTGGTGGGTTTGAACCACTGATCTTGTGGTCCAGTGCTGATCCTACAGCGCCCCACCAGGACTCACATAACAATTAGCAATGTATATTTACTCAATATGACTTCTAGAAGAAAACTGCCTTTAACAAAACACATTTAGGCACAGAGAAGCAATGAAAGGTTACTCCATCACTCATAACACTGTCAGATCACATCAGACAGACACCAAAATCCCCAGGAAAGGGCAAGAGGACATTTCCTGGCCAAGAGTAGTCTGGTATCCTGGAGGGAGGATGATACTTACCTTGCAGGGCCCTGATGAGTCGCTCTCCAGTGGTGATGTTATTCACTAAGACTGCCTGCAGGGACATAAACACAGAATGAAGCACCACAACTCGACAAAAGAAACAAGAAGATAGACATATTGGAAGGAAAAAGGGAAAACGATTATTTCTTTCTGGAAGGAGCAACACACCACACCCCCATTCCCGTCCAAGTCAGATCCGCAGTCCCGGAAGGCTGCACTCAGCTCTCTGACTGGGCTAGCAAGTGTCCAGTTAGAGAAAGAGGACTGGTTCTCGTGCAGTCCAGCACAATGCCTCCTCCAAAGCCGGAGCCAACTAGGCTTCCTGCCCCTCCCCAGACTCAAAGAGTACCCAAAAAGGCTCAATCAGCAACCTCCATGGGAATGCCAGGACCACAAGGTCTCTGGGAGAGCCCAGGAATAGTTACATCCTCTACCCAAAGTCAAACTCTGAGCTGTAGGCCGGCTAGCGGGCAAAATGAGAAGTGGACTGATTCCATGATCACACCACCAACGAAATCCCTCAATTTTCAACTTATTTTATCTGCTGGCTTTGCCTCTTCCCTCCACAAAACCTGGAAGCTTGAAGGATGATGGCATTGTGGAGTGAAGTATGTCCCCAAAAAAGATTATGTCCAAGTCCTTACCCCTGGTACTCTGAATATGACCTTGTTTGGAAATAGGGTCTTTGAAAATGTTTTTAGCTAATAAGAGGTCATACAGGAGTACTGTGGGTCTGAATCCAATAGGAGCCGTCCCTGTTGTTTGTCATTGAGTTGGTTCTGACTCATAGAGACCCTGTATAGGGTTTCTGAGGAGCAGGTGGTAGGTTTAAACTGCCGACTTTGCAGGTAGCAGTCCAGGGCTTATCCTACAGCACTACACCAGGACTCCCATCCACTCTGAGTTGTGTGATTATAAAAGAGACTGAGAGGGAAGACAGAATGTGAAGATGGAGGCAGAGATTAGAGCACCAAGACAGTGGGTCTTCACCAGAAACTAGGGGAAGCAGGGAACAGATTCATTCAGAGCTCTCTGAAAGAATCAATAAGACTCACCCCCTGATCTCAGATTCTCAGTCTCCAGAACTGTGAGAGGTTAAATGTCTGTTTTCATAAACTTCCCAGCAGCCTTAAGGCGGTACCACAGAGTTCGCCTGGGAGCCATCAAGGCAAAGTGGTCGGGTCCCCTCAGAGCAAACCCCCTTCCAAGACTAAGACACAAGGGGAATACACGAGCAGGCATGTGGTCTTGCAGCTGACCACGTTGGTCTCTGATATGGGGAAGTGAGAGAAAAATAGCAATGAAGTTGTGAGCTAAGTTCACATTCAATAGCTAAGTCCAAGTTCAAAAGACCATGTTCAATAGACTCCTGTGGACCCAGGTTGAGACCTAGTTGTCCAGCAGTATGGCGAGACATGGAGACTCCTGAGCCCAAAGACAGTGACATGGCCACAGAGGACTAGAGTGGAGAGTGAAGTGTCCAGCTGATATGAAGTGAGGGGAGATGCACAGGAACACCCATACTTGCAGATAATACCCACTTGATGTGGCTTCAATGGCTAGAGGATCAGAACTCAACCAGAAGAAGAAAGAAGAGGAAAAAAAGTGTAATCCGCTACAATTTGATGAACTTGACCTATACTTATGGATGTAGTAGCTCAAAAGAGGGAACAAATCTTTACAGTAAGGATCATTTCCACCCCCTCAGTACACACAGGGTTGACAGGGATGGGCAACTTGGACATTGGCTACCCAAAATGGGGGAGGGGGAGGAGGGCTACAAAGGCAAGAAGGCTTACAAGCTTTCAAGAGGGAGCCTAGTTCCAGAGGGGTCGGGAGAAGGTAGAATCTCCACTGAGTGGTTTCCAATCTGTTGACACAGGGCTGATGAAAGGAGATGGGGATAAGACTTTTGGGGTACAACAGTGAATAACTGCTATCAGGACTCACTGTGAAAGTCAGAAATATAAAGGTAGATGTTTTGTAACAAAAGGAGGGGAGTGGCTGATTTTGCAGTCCAGGAGCAGAGGTCCCTGGGACCATCAAGTGATCAAGAGTGGAGTGTGGGATCCTATCCAGAGAAGCAGTGACACCAGAAATGAAGGCAGAGATGATGACGTGGAGAGGTGGAACAGCTGGGGACTCTGGACTCAACTCAGGGAGGAAGAGGGGCTGTGTGCTGATGGCCAGGGTACTGGCTTGCGGGGTGTGCCCTTTGGTTGTTTAATGATGCATGGAGGGGATTATAATCATTGCAGTGAAACGAAATACGATAGGATGAATGTAAAGCTGGTATTCTCCCATGTAAACTATCACATAATTCACAATAAAAACTTAAAAAAAAAAAAAAGAAGGTACCATAGAGATCATTCAACCAAGGTAGGAGCATCAACAACAAAGAGGTGTCAAGGTAACGATACCACAGAGAGCTAAGTAAAACAAGGGCTCAGTGTACTAAATACGTCATTCCAGGTACTGTCCTAAACAATGGAGCATCATGAAATGGGCAGTGTAGCATCTCATGTTAAGGAATAGGAAGCTGAGGCACAGATCACTAGAGTGGCACCAAATCCCATGACCATAAAGAGGCAAAGCCAAATGTGCCAGCCTCAATGCTCTAATCACTAATCAGATGAGACACCAGACCCCAAGCAGGCCACTAGTTTCATGTATTTCCAAAACCTGGGAAAGATGGGAATACCTAATCAAATCCCCCAACACACAGGTGCATCCACACAGCAGGTAAGTGTACTAGCCCATTGTCTGTCTGACTGGCTAGTAGGAACAATGAAAGCACGCCACCTCCCTTTCAGTACATAGCTCTGGACGTCCATGACTTCTGTGTCTAGCCCTTTGTCTTACCTTGGGTGGAACAGAGATAAGATTTATCACTAGCAGCAGTTTCCTGGAGTGAAGTGTTTTATGAATATAAGGATGTATTCTTAAGAAATGAAATCTGGTCAAAATGAACCACTGTTGTTTAATGAAGGCGGTCTGGGGACAAAGAACCTTTACAGGCACCAGAAGAAAGGAGTCTGGTGGTTATACCTGTGAACTTAACCTCTCGGGGAGAGATGACCTGGAGTAGAGTGCCTGCCAGTATTCTGGGAGCAGGGGAGGGCAGAGAACCAGAAGTGAAAGGAAGAATCACACACACAATGGGGAACCAGCTTTACAAAGCTCACAAATGCAGCAACATAGGAAAGAAGGCCCAGAAAGCCAACTGGAAAAGATAACAAATATTGTCAGCGATTGGATTGTGTCACCCCAAAACATGTCATCTTAGCTAGGCCACAATTTTCAGTATTGTGTGGGTGTCCTGCATTCTGTGATTTGTGTTGTAAATCCTAACCTCCATGTACAAATGGGAGTCCTGGTGTGGCGCTGTGGGTTAATGCGCTGGACAGCAAGGTTGGTCTGAGCTGCAAGGTCAGGGATTCAAGCTCACCAGCTGGTCCTCAAAAACCCTATACAAGGTGGTTATGGGTCAGCACTTAGCCAACAACAACATATATTAATGAAGAAGGTTGAGGGTGGGTTGTACCTGAGTTGCAGTCCTACAAGAAGGTGTGACTCAAGCCCCACCCTTATTCACGTCACCAACCTCACCCAAGTCACACCTCGTACTTTACAGGAGACTAAAGGAGAGAGAAAGGATGCAACATAAGAGCCAGGAGCAGAGTCATTTGGGCATAGTGGTGATGAGTCTGGATGCTAATCTCAAGGGCAGCAGTTTGAAACTACCAGCCGCTCTATGGGAGAAAGATGAGGCTTTCTGCTCCCTCGGAAACCCTATATAGGGTCACTATGAGTCAGAACCGACTCCACGGCACATAACCAATCAATCAACCCTGTGCTGTAACCTCCTGACTCAGGAAAAGATTGAGGCCAAGACACATGGAGATCTCCAAAGGACACCAGGCCCACCGACACTGAAGGAGACAAGGACTGTCACCTAGAGCGGACACAGAGATAATCTTCTCTAGGTCCAGCATCCTGAGTTCAGACTTCTAGACTCCTAAACCGTGAGAGCATAAATGTCTGCTTGTTAAAGTCATCCACTTGTGGTATTTCTGTTTTAGTACCACTAGAGAACTAAGGCAAGTAATATGAGAAAAGCATAGTTGCTTGAACCGTAAGTTCAAGCTCACCAGCCGCTCCTTGGAAACCCTATAGGGGTTGCTATGTGTCGGAACTGACTCGATGGCACTTAACAATAGCAACATAGCCATAAAACCTTCTTATTTCATTGTTGTTGTTAAGTGCCATCGAGCCGGTTCCAACGCATAGCAACCCTGTATAGCATTTCCGAGGAGTGGCTGGTAAGCTTGAACTGCTGACACTGTGGTTCAAATGACCTTGCAGTCGTGCGTATTAACCCACAGCGCCACACCAGTACTCCAGGGGGGAAAGGTGGAACAATGAACTTATGTTAGGGAAAAGGAACACCTTGCCCTTCCCAACTTCACTCAAGATTCCCACAAACTCACATACCAAGATGGTGGGAATAGGAAGAGTCAGGGATGAAACCCAGAGGAGAGACATTTCAGGCAACAGAGCCAAGGATGGTCCATGATCAGCCCTCATTGACTCACCTCTCTCCCTTCTTCAAAAATAGAAAGATCTAAATAAGGAGCTCTGGTAGTGTAGTGGTTACGAGTTAGGCTGCTAACCTCCCGGTTGGCAGTTCTACAGGAGAAAAATGAGGCTGGCTTTCTGTTTCCGTAAAGATTTACAGCCTCAGAAACCCTATGCAGGGTCACTATGATTCGGAACCGACTCCAGCACATATCACGAACCAACCAATCAATGAGTTAAATAATGCAAGATAATGCACTGGATCATAAGGTCAGTTTGAACTGCAAGGTCAGTGGTTCAAACCCACCAGTTGCTCCTTGGAAACCCTATGGGTTGGAACCGACTTGACAACAACCACCACTTCTAAATTACCTAGTAAAAACAGATATGAGCACATCAAACATCACATTTAGCAGTAAAAGCAAGCTGACGAAATCTCCACCGCTTCCTTCTGAACATTCATGCCCAAACCAA